GTAGTGCAGCGTATAATCTCGACACGTCATCTACTACGTCACACTGCCACGAACGCCCTTTGGTCACAGGACAGATGTGAATTTCAAGGAAGTCCAACTATTCTCCCATATCAAATTCCGTGGTGTGGAACGAAAGGAAGGAAGACAGACTGACTGATATGCTGCAGGCTGATCCCTCATGCCCTGAGTAGATAAGTAAATTCAAACGAGATCATTCTGCATCGTTTTGGGTAAAATTAGTCCTTCAAACAACTCAATTAGCGACACATTTATCTGAAATCCTAAGAGGCTTTATGGCAGCGCAAAAGATAAGCAAATGTGCATCCTCTCTGGGAAAGAGTCTTTTATAACAGTTAGTGTCATCCTTATCGTCCAACGAAACTATTACAGTTTAGCCTAACGACCGAGAATGTTCCTATTTTACGCTTTGAAGCCAGAAAGTCACATGGCAGCGATGGAAGAGGAAGCTGTAAGTCCTTGTATAGGCCAGATTAAGTTGGCAAAACGAGATCAAGCCTACTTCAAATTGTCTTTCATTTCTTAACTTTTTGTCTTCCGATAACAAAAACTATGATCTTTATATTGCAGACAAGATCACTAAGACTGCCCGGCGGTCTTAAGTATTTGGGCCAGGATACGGCGCTCACTTGTCTCCACCTCATTTCTTGCTTCATTTCAGTCGCATCTGCTGACGGCTCCTTCTTCACTGGCGAGCTCGGTCAGGCCGTGCAAACTTGTCGAGCTTGGCTGTCGCTCGCCTGCAATCTGGTTCACTCATGCCGACCCGTCCGCCGCATTCTTCCCAAGAGGCCTTTGCGCCGCTCCGAACGCCCCTCCAATGCCTTAGTAACCACTTCTGCTACTTCCGTTGCCATGCCAAGCGTTACTATGGTCGAAGTAACTAAGCCCAGTTCTTGCAATAGAGGGGCGCATTCCTCACCTTCGGAAGGTGTTCAGAGGGGAGCTGACTTTCTCTCTCCCCTTATTTCTCCTCACTCTTCGGTACTCTCTTCTTCGTACGCTTCACTGCCTCCTTCTTTAACCTCACCTTCATCCTCCTCTTTCTTATCCTGTTCGTCTCCTACAGACCTTCATTCGCCAACATTCTCCTCTTCGCCTGCCCTCCATTCACATTCAATCCCTCTCTCCTCTCCTCCCACCTCCTCATCCTCCTTTTCATCTGCCCTGTCTATTTCTTCTGATCACTCGGCGAACAGGCCGAACTGGGCAGACCAAATCTCGCCCTTACTAGCAGATCGGCCCCGTTCGGAGCTGATCGCTAACACACCTGATTCTCCTGTTGTCACTTCGACGCAAAGTCAACCTGGCTGCCCAGCCTTCCGATGGATCCAAGCCCTAGGCCCCTCAGCTCGACAGTTGCAATATATTCATGTGGGTTTGGTGAGCATCTCTGATTGGATGCAACGGAGTGCTTTTTTGGTAAGCCCACCACTCTCTTTGTTCATCTTCTGGCAAGCTCTCTCTAGCAGGCTTCCTTTATTTCAATTTTTATGCAAATTTTCTATTATCAAAAGTTAGTCTGTTTATTGGTATCCAGCTTCCTTGCTGCGCTGGTAATTAATACATTCTATCAGCTGGAGGATTTAAGGTTCGATCACCCCCACTCGAATCTTGCGCATAAACACATTCAAGCGGTTTGCTGAGTCTTATCCTAACTCTCTTAAAACAAGTTTCCAGCTCTTCTTTCCTTTAATTCCTTGCTATCCTCTTCGTCCAACTCACTTCCACCCTAAGGTCTGCAATAGTGTATAATGGAAACGGAGATGAGGAGAACAGCTATTTCAAGTCATTAGATCTATTTTAACAATTTCTCTTCAAGTGGGTTGACCTCGTTTTTGCAACTTTATCCTGCTGTCAGGTAGACTTAATGGGCGCACCTGGTCCGAAGTTCTCTACCATAGTAATCATCATAATTCCCAGCGTCGGACCGTGGACTTGGTACATTCCAAGACGCTTCGCCGGCATCGTCAGTGAGTCTTATCATCCTCAGCACCAAGCTGCATCTCGTCAAATAGACAAGTGAAGTCCCTCCCTGGTTCGAGCATAACTGCTAGGCAGAAGGCTCGTCAAGGGATTGAATTCACTTGACTTTTTGACGAGTTGTAGCTGGGAATGGTCCTGACACTGGTCAGACTCATTGACGATGCTGGCGAGACGTCTGAGAAGACACCAAGTTCACGGTTCGACGCCGGGAGTTCTGATGACTTACTATAGCAGAGGACTTCAGACAGTTGAGTCCAACTAGGTCGCCCTGACAACACGGCCAATTTGTGAAAACGAAGTCAGCCCATTTCTATACATCTAAAGGCCACATCTTCTTGGCCTTCATATCTCCGAATTCCTATAGAATTTACTCTATCAGACCTCTCCTATTTATCCTATCTTAAATTTTTTATAGTACTCAATTTTATGTGCCGAATAGTTCTTATTCGCTTGGCCACAATGTCCCAACCGTGACGTCCAAAAGATGAAAATCTTACACGTAGATCAAAAGACCCTGAGTCTGAATGGCCCTCGTGGAGCACTAAATTTTCTCAATCACCCTCGGCTCATTTTGTGATACCTCGCGTCTATAGGCCTGAAGGAAAACTGGCTTGGTAAATGATGCCTTCTGGATCTGACGATGTCCATCGCACAGATGAGCCAGTCATAGGAAGATGTGCCAAAGACTTTTTCGATTTTAGGTGAGGCTGATTTATAGTCGCCTCCAGCCGCCTTTTTCAACAAAGTGAAGGGTATAACATCTTGCCCCAATCATATTGTTGTTTCGGCCACCTCTTTCTACGTATGACAGCACGACTTTGGCTCTACGCTTTCTGGCTGATCCAAACTTAATATCTTTTGGGTGTTTTTTCAATCACAGAATCAGTAAAATTTTATGTTGGCTCATTTTGGGTCTCTTCAGATGATGCACGGCCTGATTGTTGAGTCTCTCTGTATCAAATTGGCAGGCGTCAATATACCATTTAATTTCATACAATATTACCCCTCAAACGACTTATATCCGAACAAGATTGCGGTTTCGACCCCGTCATAGGTTCTTTAACAACTGAAGCGGCTTCTCGAAACTAGATCGTGCATGTAGAATGGCAACGCGCTGCTTCTTTGCCACACAATTCCGACTTCAAGTGGATCACAGGGCAGACGTGATTTCCTAGCTAAACTAGGTCTCTTTAAATTCACATTTGCTTTTTGATGCTGGTGTTTTGGCGGCCACTCGACAGGGCGAGGCCAAGTGAAATTCAACGGTCGTTCAACGCAATTTGGTATATTAAGATCAGAATAGTATGGCCTCCATTTCTGTGTAAGTCTTTCTTCGCTGTGTAAAAGTGGTTTGAAC